CATATGTGTGATGATGTCCGATGACCTTCAGTTCAGTTTGGCTCGGAAATAAGTCTGAATGACACAAATATCAGCATAATGTATTAATTCTGAATTGTAAATGTTGTGAAGATATTAAATAATTTGTGTCATTCATACTTATTTCCAAGCCAAAATTAACTTGCTTGCCAATAATAGCAGTACGACTTCGACAACTTAAGCACGTTTTCCAACATTTCCGGTTCATTTTTGTACAATACTCTGTTTCTCCATTATAACATACGAGCTTCTAGTACTAAACTAGGGTACATTTTGATTTACGTGCGTGGAGAAAGCGTCGGACAAAGCGACAGTTCGGTCAGACACCAATTCATTCGGGTCGGACACATAATAAACTTCAGTTTCATTTAGGTCGGACAGAATGTCCGGTGGTTTCCTCTCTACGTCGGACAATTGGACGAATGGGTCGGACAATGTCCGTGACCGACCGATATTTTATGCCTGACAATAGTTTGACTAAAAACGGTAAATATTTCCTACAGCCGTAGAGGGTCATATTGTAATTCAAAACTAAATTCCAATATATCTAAACTATCTACGTGCATACTAAGGGTCGGTTATATCAAAATTAAAGACTGGCGCATTGTGCAGACTGCATATAGTTCCGAAGCATTATTTTTCATTTTTTCGTTTGCACATAGCGTCATTATAAGTCATTAGGCGCAGTCTGCCAGTCTCGATTGATTTTAGGAAGTACTGCAGCCGTACAGTGAACAAGTCGAATCAATTCACCATGCACTTACTGCCAACTGGTTACCTAGACTACCTCCAAGTCTCATTATATATGGACTTTGAGAAAGTCTACGAGCTACCGTGTGTGTTTTAAAAATAATGCAAGATGGCGTCGATTGCAAACCGCCCAATTCAAATTGACTTGGTATGAAAATTGCCCATTTCAATGACTTATATACTTTATATTTACTTATACTTTTGACAAAACTAATATAGTGGTTAAAGTCTAAATAAACATTGAAATGACATTTTGCATACCAAGTTAAGCTGGCATATTGGACGGTTAATTAAATCATAGATCAGGGCCGGGGGCCAGTTGTTCAAAGGTGGGTTAGCGCTAACCCTGGGTTAAAATTTAACCCACTGTTTTGGTTTGTGTTTCTACACGTCTGTTTCTTTCAAAACTTCAGAGAAGTGAACTCTTGTCGATCCAGACAAGATTACTGAAGAAATATTTCCAAATATATAGACAAGCTGTTAGAAAGTTTGCTTTGAATTTTAGGTTAACCTAGGGTTAAGCTGATGGACGTTCGAACAACCGCGGCCCCAGTGGTTAATTTAAATCAATTAAACAGTCCAATAGCCGTTAAGAGACTTTAATATCCGAAGATTAGCATCTTGATACTCACGATAGGAGTCAAAACAAGACGATACTGCCTGTAATTTCCTTTGTAATTACGTCATGCCATATCAGCTTGTATAGAAAATCGTTATGTATTGTAACTTTAGTTAGTCTGATGATGATTTTTAAACAAAATCGAAATATCACAAACTCATTCTTGTCCTGTTTTGACTCATATCTTGAGTCTCAAGATGCTATGTTATCTTCGGATTGTGTTTTGTCTTATAAATAGCTATTTATTTCTCGCCCACTCATTTTCCCTCGCTCTTTCTTTCGCCTTCGCCTTTGCCTCCCCCTAGCCTCCCCTCCCCCTCCCCTCCCCCCATAATAGCGCATGCTAAGCAGGCTGAAAAAGTTTGACACCTGGATGTGTTTGGAAACCCAGGAACTACAGAACAGAACTAAAGAAACAGTCACAGGATTTTCAGGAACAATCTAGCATGGCCAATTATACAGTGGGCTCACAATTCAGAAATAAAACTGTTGAGAAAAATTGGCGGGAAAATTACTTATTCGTCGCGAAAACTGGCGAAAGGTAATTGTTTAGATTTATATGTTAGTCTTCAAAATCTTGCAATTCCTGTAGACCCTGGGTTTCCAAACACAGCACCCTACCTACAGCAAGCGACAAGGTCAGCAAAACCCGACCACATGCATAGCTACAGTAACAGTATCTTACCTTCAAATACATTCAGTAATATATATATATATATATATATATATATATATATATATATATATATATATATATATATATATATATATATATATATATATATATATATATATAGATCACCTACATTCAATTGCTATATAAATATTCCCATTTAAAGTCCTTTGTTGAAGTATACAGTCTGCACATCAGGACCTTGGCTTGCTCGTATTTTGTCGCGAAGTTGCGGTTCAAGGTGCTCCACTTTCATTGAACTTAAAGGAAAATAAAAAAAAAAGATTTCGGCTCCGTTCACATTGGACAAAATGAATTCGGAACTGTGTTCAAAACCTGATTTCAGGACGATCTAAAGTGCAGGTTGCAGTTGGTGCGGGCTAATGAGATGATCAAAATGGTCTTTGGCAGCTTTTTTATTTTGTTTTAAGACTGGCTTACACTATCAAAGTTTCTGTGATCACAGTAGGAATTTTTCATACAGTAGTAAATTCCAAGTTTTGAAGGATTTGTAAGAAGTGTTTGAGGGCATTGAATCTGTGTTCCCTCAAACATTTCTTACAAATCCTTCAAAACTTGGAATTTACCTACGCAAAATTCCTACTATTATTATTTTTTTATTATTATAGGCTTTATTTAACGAGGCTAACACTTTACAGTAGTAAATTAACACTGATGACTTCGTGGCCCTCACTATATACTAAGTTGAAAACCTGGGGGGGGGGTCTTCCTCCTAGTGTAAAGAATAAACTCATAAGTGTAAACCACATCCAACCCCCAACCCTAACCTGGGGAGGGGGGGGGTCTTCCTCCTAACCAAAAACTCAACCACTAACGTGTAAATGCAATCTGCAATTCAGACACTCTGTGAAACAGGGCGAGTTTGTGCACAGCTACACAAATGCGCATGCAAACAAATCGGACGGTTTTGTCAACTTAGTCTTGATCAAGCTTGGGTTAGTACGTGTAGGATAAGCACAAACAGGGACGCCGGAACTGGGGGGCAGGAGGGGCAGCCGCCCCCGTTGCCCTTTACCAGGAGGGGCAAGGGGGGCAAAGGTGCCCTTTCAATTTAAAGGATTGCCTTGGCAAAATAGCGAATTGTCAGAAATGTTAGTGCGATTCTTTTACGAATTTGCTTAAAAAAACGCAAGAAATGCACTCATCGAGCTTCAAGAATAGCGCATCGCCTGGCGGAGAACCCCCTCTCACCCGTATCATCCAATAAATAGAAAACATGATTAGGCGAAGTTCATCTCCCGATGTTTTGCAAACATCTCTTAGTATATATCAATTCAAAAGTGCCCTTTCACGAAAATCTGCCCCCCTTGCCTTCACATCGTTCCGGCGTCCCTGGTGCACAAACACTAAGACAAACAAAACGCAAAAAAGAGATCCATGGAATAAAATGTGCGACATAAATTTCGATATAAGCAAAACTAGCGAGCTTAAAAGATCAGCTAAAGTAAACAAAAGATGTTTAATTAAAAAAAATCACTTTTGAGTCTTGCAGCTTTTGTCTTTGCAGCTTCCGGTTGTCTTTGCAAGTTTGTATTCATGCTTATGCCAGTTATATCTACTTGACAAATGTGTGAAAGAGGTTTGAGTTTTCTTTGTTTAAGTCATTCACCCCACCTGCAAAGCTGGCTGAAAAAACGTGCTTAAATATAAAAGTGTCTTTCGGGGAGAATGTCTTTGTTAGCCTGCACATACAATAGGACGGAACGGTATTTCCGAGCAAAGACCTGCTAATTCAACAAAGAATATTTTCGTCAATGTAGGATCTATATCGTCTTTATGTTCAAGATGTAAGAATCCAGCTCAACTGAAGTACATGTCATGTGTTTCAAGACCACCAACTGCGCACTGGCAACTATGGCGGGGGGGGGAGAACAGGGAAGGACAATATGTAAGCCCTTCCAAGGTTAAGGACGCCATCTTGAATCCACTGTTTCCACCATTGTGTTTGCACCCCTGTAAATTTACCTATATAGGTAATTCTATTGTGTTTGCACCCCTTGCAGTATTGTGTTTCCTAATGGTGTCGTTAACCTTGGAAGGTCTATGAAGAATATACCCAGATACAAACCATTTCAAAAATTGTCTGATGTTAGCCAGAGTAAACAAAAAGGGGTTAGAATATGGCAACTTTGGTATCTTTGTAAACAACTATGCAAAGGAGACAGTGGTTGTTCCAAAAATCAAAAATGTAAATTTATTTAATGAAACATCTCGACAAAGTTCTGTACGAAGTACTTACCATTTTTGTGGAAATATTGAGCACGCTGCTGGTACCATAAAAGTTAAACTGTAATAAAAATAGACAGTAAGGTTAGTATTTGACATGTACCTGATGTATTATGACATTATGAAAAAAGTGTATCAAGTCAAGTGATCAAATAGCATGTGAAGCAAGTCTTTACCCAACTCCGCACAGAAGTACTTGTATCGGCATATGAAGAACTTTTATTCTCTATAAACAAATTATTCAGATAATAATTAATGTTAGGTCCAATGGCAATGGTTAAGTAGGATGAATTCAGAACTGAATTCATCAGGTAACCGTACGCATTCCCAATGAACAAATGGTAGTGCATATACTAATTTAGAGTTGTTATATAGGCAGTAACTCTATGTTTATAGATACTTAGATACTGCACACAATTTTTGATGTAATATTTCAAATCCGGCTATCCAGCAATTTGATCAAAATGCGAGGACTTGAAATCTAGTCCAGTCCGAATTGGAGGATTTGAAATGACATCTCATACGAATAAATCACTACTGTACTTAGGTAATATGAGGTGAATTAATTTTGATCCAGTCCTAGGACCGAATCAATATAATTCACCAAGTATCCAGTATTATCATGTGAGCAAAATAAAGCAATATGATTGGCTAATTTACTCATGAATCATTTTAATGAGTTTGAGATGTTGTTAATCAGTAGGTTTAGAAAGGCAGCTCAACTGCCTTCACATGATTTCTGTAGTTTTCCTGTACCTCATAAATTCTTAATTCAACTAAGTTTTGAAGTTTTAAATTGGATTTGGAGTTAGCCCCTTATATTATATGGAGGTAACGTCGCTTCATGGCTCGGCCCTAGCTTCCCCTGGTTTTTAAATGACATGTATGATTGTGTTCTTGCAAGACTATATTATTCAAGACCATTGTTTGGCAGTTCTGCAGTAAAACACGATTTCTGTTGACCTAAAGTTAATGCACTGTACATGTCTGAAGTGGCCATACAGCAGCATTTCCCCCTTGCGACATCTAGTTTATCCGGTCTTGTGTGAAGCAATAACATCGACCAACAAAACAAAAACTAATCAGTCAATAAAGACCACTGACATCCAAAACCAGAAACAAAAATACCGCACGGAACAACCTATTGAAAACTTACTTGCATCCATCGATATTTTTCTAGTTTCTCCATAATAATAGGAATTATCACTATAATAAAATTTGAGAGAAAATAACTAAGCTAACGCAGGCCTAGAAAATAGACCCTCCGTTGCACACACCCCTCCCTTTGTCAAGGACACACCCCTCCCTTTGTCAAGGACACACCCCTCCCTTTGTCATGGACACACCCCTCCCTTTGTCAAGGCTGGAGGGTGCACCTCCCCCTGCACAACATCGTTCCCGGCGGTGTAGAGGAGGGAGCATGGGAACCAGGTTGCCTCCTGCACTCCCCTAGTAAATTCATCCCAGATCTAAAGACCCTAAAGAATACGACTACGGGCATATTTGCGCAAGTCATACCACATTTTTATGTGTGTGTTGGTGTTATGTACTCAGGTGAATATGATGTTTGTGATGTTACTCTGAGTGTGCATCCACACCGGGCAAGCTGAAAAGTTAGCTTGGCCACGGTGGGAATTGAACCCGCGACCTTTGGGATACTAGCCCAATGCTCTACCAATTGAGCTACGAGGTCAAGTCGGTTCGAGTTGTTGATATTTAGGAACTGAGTCTAGTTCCTTCGATATCACTACTGACTAGTATCCCAAAGGTCGCGGGTTCGATTCCCACCGTGGTCAGGCAAACTTTTCAGCTTGTCCGGTGTGGATGCACACTCAGAGTAACATCACAAACATCAAGTCATGCCATGTTTTTATGACTATCGTCCAGGCAGCAGATCAACTATGATACAGACTAGAGTAGTACTCACACATGCCAGGAGCAGCCATTGTTATCCGAGATGTAACAACTTGAGTTATTCCTTTTACCGCCGCACGTTGTGACAAACCTAGTTCATCTCCGTCCTGGTTGTATACTTTGATACCGTTTATTAACTCACTGAAAATGGAAACAAATGAGTAGACATTATGGAAAGTTTGGATCAGAAATAAAGTTTCAGTATTTTTAGTTATTTCAGTAACTGGTCATACGGCCTATTGGATGATCACTTGTCTTTGTTTTATAAATAGTTTTAGTGAAAAATAGTACCCCGTATTGAAATAAAGTAAAATAATAATAATTTGTTATTTTTGAAATTTTGGAATTAGTATTGAATCTTCTAGTAAAGAACATGCCAATTTCGCCTTTCGCATTCACACGGGACGCATGAAGCCGGACGCGTTCAAGCGTATGGAAGCGTACGAATTTTTGAACGGAACCGGAATAATCAGGTCTTATAGTCAAAGTAGTCTTCGGCAAGCCCCGAATTTTGTAAGGAGGTACGCACCTCCCCCGAGATCGTTTTGCTCGTTTTGATCGTTTTCCGTTAAATACACTGATACCTATGTACACTACATACATACGTCACATAGACACATAGACACGCAAAAATCTCACATCTTATCATCAAGATGTGTTCGCAACTGGCTTGTTGCAAGCTTGTCAACAAGTTGTAACAATGCTGTTACTTTATCAAGTTGCTACAAGGTTGTCACTCACAACTTGTTGACAAATTGTTGAATTGCAAGGATGATGATAACAAGTTTCTGGAACAACTTGGAACAAGTCTGTTGAGCTCATACAATAACCTTGTAGCAAGTTGTCATGACAACCTTTCAACAAGCACGGAACAAGCAGTGCGAACACATCCTGTTGACAAGTTGTTGAAACAGCAGTGCTACAAGTCGAAGTCTACTGCAGGTTTGTTACAACTTGTGCGTTTTTACGTGTGCAGTTGACTTATAGGGGAATACAAACATCCGGCCTTGGTCTTAGGCCCATTCACACCAAGCTTTTAGGGAATTCGCACGACAACAGATATAATTGAACAAGTATTACTGACTGGAACAAGTGGTGCAACTTTACTTTGCTGAGCACTTGCACCAGAACATGTACTATAAAAAATTATATCCGACAATGAAAACAAAAATTTAAAGATGCCCAGCTTTCGTGGCAAGGCAACTTGCCCAATAGAGCAAAACAAAACGTTTACTTGCCCGTCATGATGTTCACTTGCGCCGGGCAAGTGTTAAGTTACACTTCTGAAGTTGTGACAATGGTGTTCCAACAACATGTCAACAAGATGTCTCCGCAACAGCTTTGTAGCAAGCCTGTCAACAAATTGTGACAATGTTGTTCCAACAACTTGTCAACAAGATGTCTCCTCAACAGACTTGTAGCAAGCTTGTTAAGAAGTTGTGACAATGCTGTTCCAACAACTTGTCAACAAGATGTCTCCTCAACAGGCTTGTAGCAAGCTTGTTAACAAAGGTGTGACAATGTTGTTCCAACAACTTCTCAACAAGATGTCTCCTCAACAGGCTTGTGGCAAGCTTGTTAAAAGGTTGTGACAATGTTGTTCCAACAACTTTTCAACAAGATTTTTCGCAACAGTTTGTAGCAAGCTTGCTACCATGTAGTGACAATGTTTTCCCAACAACTTCTCAACAAGATTTTTCGCAACAGGCTTGTAGCAACCTTGTTAACAAGTTGTGACAATGCTGTTCCAACAACTTCTCAACAAGATTTTTCGCAACAGGATTGTAGCAAGCTTGTTAATAAGTTGTGACAATGTTTTCCCAACAACTTCTCAACAAGATTTTTCGCAAGAGGGTTGTAGCAAGCTTGTTAACAAGTTGTGACAATGCTGTTCCAACAACTTCTCAACAAGATTTTTCGCAACACGCTTGTAGCAAGCTTGTTAACAAGTTGTGACAATGTTTTTCCAACAACTATTCAACAAGATTTTTCGCAACAGGCTTGTAGCAAGCTTGTTAACAAGTTGTGACAATGTTTTCACAACAACTTCTCAACAAGATTTTTCGCAACAGGCTTGTAGCAAGCTTGTTAACAAGTTGTGACAATGCTGTTCCAACAACTTCTCAACAAGATTTTTGGCAACAGGTTTGTAGCAAGCTTGTTAACATGTTGTGACAATGCTGTTCCAACAACTTCTCAACAAGATGTGTTTGCAATACTGTAAGTTTGTAGCAAGCTTGTTAACAAGTTGTAACAACGCTGTTCCAACAACTTCTCAACAAGATGTCTCCTCAACAGGCTTCTAGCAAGCTTGTTAACAAGTTGTGACAATGTTTTTTTCCAACAACTTCTCAACAAGATGTCTCCTCAACAGGCTTCTAGCAAGCTTGTTAACAAGTTGTGACAATGTTTTTCCAACAACTTTTCAACAAGATTTTTCGCAACAGGCTTGTAGCAAGCTTGTTAACAAGTTGTGACAATGTTTTCCCAACAACTTTTCAACAAGATTT